TGCACGTGTGCACTACGCTGGTTGGTAGGAACACCCCAAATGTCTCCGTGGCTGCAATGGATATCTTGGAGACTATTGCCTTCGCATTCCTACAAAGCAGCTTCTTTCCATACAAATTCTCTTCGGAAACAAAACCATAGACAAACACATCGTCTACGAAAGGAGGCAATCCTTCCWGCGGCTGCAGACTGGTTGGTCATTCGTTGCCCCGCAAGTAGTCGCACTTGGATATGTCTGGCAGCAGGTTTCCGTCGCAGGCATTGTCCAGCAGCAAATGTGCTAGTAGCCTACTCTTTGCTCGTATACCCATCTCTTGCAATGTAGTCGAAATACTCTTTTGCTCTTCCATCTTCTATATATAGGGGTCGAAGGTTTTGGGCTACTACTACGGATTTTCCAAGAGCGGTGTCTTGCCGCGCCCTTGCTACGAGGACTCGTTTTTTGGGCCCATACAAAAAAGGAGAGGCAAATCGCCTCCACCTGCTACCAAAAATACTCTATTGTGCCTACGAGGAATGCCTGTGTGGGAGTAGAAAAGGTAGCCGAAAATGGTTGCCGAAACAATGGGCAAAAATATACTCTTCTAAAGTCGATTATTCTTTCAGCTCTTTCTTCGTCCATAATTTCTTCTATGTCTCCTTCTGTAAATGTCGTGAAGGCGAAGTCGGCATCCAAACGATCCAACACTTGAGTTCGTAACCTACGTACAGTTCTATTTCGAATGCTCGTGATGTTGTCCATCTATATCTAGGAAATATTTTAACCTTCGTTTGCGATAGCAGCAGTAAGGCGCTCCTCGTTGCTGTCGCCGGATCGCGCAAGGGGGTCCCAAGCCCCAGTAATACCCGTGAAATTCCAGGTGCATTGCCGACGCTCCGCGAGTCCGCCTTACTGCTGCTCAGGGGGGGAGGACCAGAAACAATTCCTCAGTCACGCAAGAKAATCTAAAAAACTCACAACACGATGCCAAGCCCATCATTCGAACCAGAGACCCCAAAGGTGATAATTGTTTTACACCTGTACTAAAAACCTTCTTTTTTATACATACATTTTTTAGATTCCCCTGTCACTAAGCTGTTCCAAATCAGAACTTCTTTTCTAAGAATTGTACTAAAGATTTCCTAAATGAAACTTGCCCTAAATAAACTTTTAAAAGGGAGTTCAAAAACACTCAGTGTAGATTCCCATTACAAGCTTCTTCAGACCTTTCATAGGTGATATGGCGCGCTCTCGTCAGTGATTCAAACTACCAGAATCCCTTGCACGCTTTCTTTTCTTTAGTTAATTATCACCAATTGCCTTACTATTCTCATGAGGGAATACAAATTTAAATGAGAAAGAAAATTCGCGAAGCATCTTGGTAGTGGAAATCAAATGAAGCCATCATGGAAACGGCCTATAGAGGCTTTGCACCATCACGTGATGGCAGCTATGACAGGAGGCAGGAAAAATTGAATTTGGTCTAATGTGATTTACATGATTTACATTTTCATTCTATTGCTGTGTCTCCTGTCATGGATGCCATCACGTGATGGTGCAATGCCTCTATTAAGTACACTAATTTCATGTCAGCATCTTATTAGTATAAAGCCGATCTAAAATCTAATCTTGGGAGTTGGCTTTTTTTATATGAAAAAGTTTATCGTTTTACTCGTTTTTCCTTACGAGTTATTAGGCTTTGATATGTGGGAGATAAATGAAACCGTGGCCAGAATTCAGAAATCCTAAATATCTTGGGGAGTTTTGCGCACTACTATGAAATTCAAAAATGTATGCCTCATGTTCCTTAAATGCTATTTATTTTGGTCTATCTTAAAGCCCAAAACCTACAAGCTCTGGTTGAAAGTCTAAATAACTTGTTCAATACCACGGTAGAAAATATGAGAAACGTTGGATATATCTCCAGTAAAGTATTGGAAGGAATAGATCCAAACATCGAAGATACCTTGAATGTGACCACACTTGAATTACAGGTAAGATTCTTCACCGAAAACGAACTTTTCGAATGCGGTCTCCAGAGTGGAACATTTTTAACGCCGGCTAGCCGTATTAGGCCCCGTCCACACTATGCCGGATAAATTTGAATCCGAATTTTTATTTATTCAGTTAGGGCTACCGTCCACACTAGTCCGGTTGAATCCGGAACAATTCTTCACCGAAAGCAAATCCTTCGAATACGGTCTCCAGAGTGGAACAGTTTGAAAACGCCGGTGTTAGTGTGGATGAAGAACATTTCGTACCCGAAATTTTTCGAATGCGATAACTTGTTAAAAAATTTCAATTTTTAAGATCTCTCAAAACAGGTTTTAGAAAGGTTGTTTCCTCTCCAGTGAACTTCACCCATGGGAATCAAAATGTTCATTCATTTGCTCTCAGTGAATTAATCAGCACTGATTACTGAGCTGCAAAGGGCCTATTCTTTTGTCAATTAAAGATGGTGGCTATGACGTCACGTGAAAACGTCTATCATGCTCATTATGGATATGCAAATTATGTGACAACTTGTTTAATATATATTGTTAATTTGGAATTCTTAATCTTGGTACTCTTCGTTTGTGTTCTTTCTTTCTTTCTTCCTTTTTTTCTTCCTCTTTTTTTTTATGTTCTTTTTTCGTTTCCGTTCTATTGTTTCCTTCAAATTTTTCTTTTCCATCAAACATTTGTAACTTCGGTTTTCCATTTTGGTCTTTGCTATCTTTTTCTAGTTGTCGTTGTTTTTTGTTTCGCTTTTTTTTTTTTTTTTTTTTTAGTTTAAGTTCCAGACCTGCATCACCTTCTCATT